CTGGTCAGTCTGGGAGGTGGTTTTCATGTTCTGTGTGTGTGTGGGGGGGGGTATGTGACTTTGTGGCGGGGGAGGGCGGTTAGAGATCTTATGCAGCCACGCAGCAAGGGATCTGTAACCGTACTCCCCCTGCCACAAAGTCACATAGCCCCCACACACAGAGTCCCGAATAGGAGGGGTGGCAGGCTCCGTTGAAACAACCAGTCCACCAGTGCGGAGCCTGTCATTCCTGGAGTTTAGAAGCATCCTTTGCATCACTACACTACACCCGCTCCCCACCACAGTCTGCGTCCCAGGTTCAACACTTTCCCGAGAAAACAGTAATAAAGAAAACGGTGTTCATTAACAAAATTCAAGTGATTTTATTTTTAAACGTGTGTTGGAAGGGGGGGAACGGGGTATGTAACTGGAGAAGATAGTGAATATTTACTTGGTAAAGAAACGGGGTCAGGTTCAGCTTCTCTGTACACAAACTTAATAGTCACAGGTTACCCTGCTCACTCAGGAACCTAGCTTTCAAAGCCTGGACGGATGCACAGCGCGTCCCGCTGGGCTCTTCTAATCGCCCAGCTGTCTGGCTGGGCGTAATCAGCAGCCAGGCTATTTGCCTCAACCTCCCACCCCGCCATAAAGGTCTCCCCCTTGCTCTCACAGAGATTGTGGAGCACACAGCAAGCTGCAATAACAATGGGGATATTGGTTTCGCTGAGATCACAGCGAGTCAGTAAGGTTCTCCATCTCCCCTTGAGACGTCCAAAAGCACACTCCACCACCATTCTGCACTTGCTCAGCCGGTAGTTGGAGAGTTCTTTTTCAGTGTCCAGGGCGCCAGTATAGGGCTTCATGAGCCAGGGCATTAGCGGGTAGGCTGGGTCCCCGAGGATGACTATAGGCATCTCCACATCCCCAAGAGTTATTTTGTGGTCCGGGAAGTAAATACCTTCCTGCAGCCGTCTAAACAGACCAGAGTTCCTGAAAACACGAGCGTCATGAACCTTGCCCGGCCATCCGACGTTGATGTTTGTAAAACGTCCCCTATGGTCCACCAGTGCTTGCAGCACCATTGAAAAGTAGCCCTTTCGGTTAATGTACTGGCTGGCCTGGTGGTCCGGTCCCAGGATAGGGATGTGAGTTCCATCTATAGCCCCACCGCAGTTTGGGAATCCCATCGCAGCGAAGCCATCTATGATGACCTGCGCGTTTCCCAGGGTCACTACCTTTGAGAGCAGTAGCTCAATGATTGCGTTGGCTACTTGCATGACAACAACCCCCACGGTAGATTTGCCCACGCCAAAGTGGTTCGCGACTGACCGGTAGCTGTCCGGCGTTGCAAGCTTCCAGAGGGCTATGGCCACTCGCTTCTGGACACTCAGGGCTGCTCGCATCCGGGTGTCATTGCGCTTCAGGGCAGGGGACAGCAACTCACAAAGTTCAAGGAAAGTCCCCTTCCGCATGCGAAAGTTTCGCAGCCACTGGGATTCATCCCAGACCTGCAGCACTATGCGGTCCCACCAGTCCGTGCTTGTTTCCCGGGCCCAGAATCGCCGTTCCACAACATCCACATGACCCATTGCCACCATGATGTCCTCGGCGCGGGGTCCCATGCTTTGTGACAGGTCTGTGCCACTCTCAGACTTCAGGTCTTCACCGCGCTGCCGTAGCCTCCTCACCCGATTTCTCAGCATCTGCCTCTGGGAAAGGTGGATGATAAGGTGCGAGGTGTTGACAACAGCCATAACTGCAGTGATGGTCGCAGCGGGCTCCATGCTCGCAGTGCTGTGGCGTCCGCGCTGTCACTGACCAGAAAAGTGTGCGAACTGATTTCCCGCCGGCGCTTTCAGGGAGGGAGGGCGGTAGTGACGGTTGGATGACGACAGTTACCCAAAAGCACCCTCGACACATTTTTTTACCCAGAAGGCATTGGCGGCTCGACCCAGAATTCCAATGGGCAGCGGGGAATGCAGGAACTGTGGGATAGCTGCCCACAGTGCACCGCTTCCAATGTCGACGCTTGCCCCGTTAGTGTGGACTCACAAAGTCGAATTACTGTCCTTAGTGTGGACACACACACGTTCGACTTTGTAATATCGATTCCACATATTCGATTTAAGTAAAATCGAACTACTCTCGTAGTGTAGACATACCCTTTGGGGTAGTAAATCCCAGGTGGATTGCATGATGTGTTACAGGGAGCACTCTGGTCATTCTATGACACTGTCCCCACTTTGCTATTGCATTGAATTCCCTGTTTCCTTTTCACTGGAATTCTTGAAAATTCTGGCATCTTTGAATTTGCCAGTCCAGCCTATGTTAACTCATTTAAACAATATTGGTATGCTCAATGCCAAATATTCACAGAATAGAAAGATTTGAGGTTGTAGAACACAGTGGTGTTATGTAGGGGGCAGAGAACAACCAAATAGGCAATGGATTAGTACAACATTTCCAGAACCCTATGTACCCTATGTACCATGTGGTTCAGAATGATCTTGAAAATCATCTACAATCCTATCGCCTGGTTCTAGCATCTGAGGCGATATGGGATAGCTGACTAGATTTTCCTAAAATACACTGCTGCAAACACTTTGTGCATCTTGGTCATGTGGACAGGCAAACACCACGGGAGTATGGTTGTGCTAAAGTGTATTAACTGAAACCATGTCTGATGGGTGCATCAAAACACCGATTCACTGGACATGATCCCATCTGTAGTGTAGAGTGGCCCTAAGATCACAACTTCATCTTATAGATAGGGCTCTTTGCAAGTTAAGTCCTAAGGGGGGAAATAAAAACATTTATAAGGTGGGTTAATTTGTAATGTAATTAAACAGTTAATGGGAGAACTGAACATATTAGAGACCACTTATTCAGTGCTTTTCTCATTTTGTTGTGCAGAGCCACTTTACAGAAGGTGATCTCAATATAGCCACTCCTGTTGTATCTAGTAAGGTATAGCAATTTCCAAATAGTTAGCATAAGTTCAGTAATGAGGACCCAGTCACAAACCAGTGGGATTTAACACCTGGTTGAGACAATTTCACAAAGGTTCAGATGGTCCCAGGCTTTGGATAGCTATACCCCAACACATTTATAAATGTATTATAGTTAAGGCTGCATGTCTGTCACGGAAGTCATGATTTATGCAGCTGCCGGTGCGGCTGGCTCTGGGGCTGCCCGAGCAGATCAGGCAGCTCCCGGGCCAGCCGCACCGGCTGCTGCTGGGGCAGTTTGGGGGTGAAAGGGGGCTCAGGGCTGGGGCAGGGGGTTGGGGTGCGGGGTGACACTTACCTTGGGGGGAGAGGGGGAGAGACTCCTCGGAAGCGGCCGGCATGTCCCTGCAGCTCCTAGGTGGAGGGGCCGGGGGCCTCTGTGTGCCTCCTCCGCCAAGAGGTGCCACCCCCCCCCCCAGCTTTCATTGGCTACAGTTCCCCGCCAATGGGAGCTACGGAGCCGGAGATTGTGGCAGGGGCAGCGTGCGGAGCCCCCCCGGCCTTCCCTCCCCCTAGCAGCTGTAGGGACACAGCGGAGCAGTGGGGGTCCCGGGATGTGCGTTGCTGCCCGCGGCGCCCCCCAGATCACCCTTCCAGAGCACCTGCAGACCCCCGGCCCAAGTTGTAGTTACAGGTCTATAGTACAAGTCATGGACAGGTCATGGACTGTAAGGTGGATAGAAAGCTGGCTGGATCGTCGGGCTCAACGAGTAGTGATCAATGGCTTCATGTCTAGTTGGCAGCCAATATCAAGCAGAGTGCCCAAAGGGTTGGTCCTGGGGCCGGTTTTGTTCAATATCTTCATTAATGATCTGGAGGATGTTGTGGACTCCACTCTCAGCAAGTTTGCAGATGACACTAAACTGGGAGGCGTGGTAGATACGCTGGAGGGTAGGGATAGGATACAGAGGGACCTAGGCAAATTAGAGGATTGGGCCAAAAGAAACCTGATGAGGTTCAACAAGGACAAGTGCAGAGTCCTGCACTTAGGACTGAAGAATCCCATGCACTGCTACAGTCTAGGGACCGAATGGCTCGGTAGCAGTTCTGCAGAAAAGGAGCTAGGGGTTACAGTGGACGAGAAGTTGGATATGAGTTGACAGTGTGCTCTTGTTGCCAAGAAGGCTAACGGCATTTTGGGCTGTATAAGTAGGGAGCCAACAGAAGTAAGCCCATGCCCCAACCCCATGCCCCAAAATATATTGGAAGGTCAGAACTGGTCATGCTGGTGGGGGAGTGGCACTATATGATCATTCCCTTCTATTTGACATTGGTGAGGCATCATCTGGAGTACTGTGTCCAGTTTTAAGCCCCACATTACAAGAAGGATGTGGAAAAATTGGAAAGAGTCCAGTGGAGGGCAACAAAAATGATTAGGGGGCTGGAGCACATGACTTATGAAGAGAGGCTGAGGGAACTGGGATTGTTTAGTCTGCAGAAGAGAAGAATGAGGGGGGATTTGATAGCTGCTTTCAACTACCTGAAAGGAGGTTCCAAAGAGGATGGATCTAGACTGTTCTCAGTGGTACCTGATGACAGAACAAGGAGTAATGGTCTCAAGTTGCAGTGGGGGAGGTTTAGGTTGGATATTAGGAAAAACTTTTTCATTAGGAGGGTGGTGAAGCACTGGAATGGGTTACCTAGGGAGGTGGTGGAATCTTCTTCCTTAGAGGTTTTTAAGTTCAGGATTGACAAAGCCCTGGCTGGGATGATTTAGTTGGGAATTGGTCCTGCTTTGAGCAGGGGGTTGGACTAGATGATCTCCTGAGGTTCCTTCCAACCCTGATATTCCATGATTCTATGATTCTGTGAATTTTTGTTTATTGCCTGTGATCTGTCCATGATTTTAACCAAAAATACCCATGACTAAAATGTAGCCTTAATTATAGTGACTGAGCAGGATAGAGGAGATACAATACTGAATTTCCTTTTATTTTGTTGGCTTAGTGGCTGCAGTTGGATAAGATTTTTAAGACTTACATTGATTTATAATTGTTTTCTTTGTTATAGACAAGTAAAATTAAATGGGTCCAGTAACTGGAATGACTCCAGATAAGAAAGCTGAAGCACCTGGAGCAGAAAAGGCTGCAGGATTAAGACAGATTTACAGAATGGGAAGCTTGCCTGAAGCAGTTGATGCTGCTAGGCCGAAGGCCACGTTAGTGGACAGCGAATCAGCAGATGATGAGCTCACAAATTTGAACTGGCTTCATGAAAGTACTAATCTTCTAACATACTTCAGTCTTGGAAGTGAGGGTCTTCCAATTGTTAGTCCTATATATGACATTGAGGGTGATAACGTGCCATCTTTCTCACCATCCTGCTACCAGAATCTGGAAAAAAAATCAGCCACTTCCAAACCTCCTTATTCCTTTAGCCTTCTCATTTACATGGCTATTGAACAGTCTCCTAATAAAAGTTTGCCAGTCAAAGAAATCTACAGCTGGATTCTGGAACGCTTCCCATACTTTGCCACAGCACCAACAGGGTGGAAGAACTCTGTTCGACACAATCTTTCCTTGAATAAATGTTTCCGAAAGGTGGAGAGAAGCCATGGCAAGGTGAGATGTATGGAAAAAATGTTTTTAACAAATATAAAGTGTATTGGGAAATGAAAAAGGCTGTTTTGTTTGTTTTTAAGGAATTTTTTGGGGGGTGTATCGTACTAATATTAGATATACTGGTATATTGAAATAATATTTTACATTTATAGCATTTTTTTTTGGCAACTCCAAATGCAACTTGGAAATGCCACTTGTGATAAGGTGCATGTATTTTATTTCATACAGTATTTTTATTTAGCAATGTCATAAGCAGAGCTGGCAGTGACAGCTGTAGTTAAAGTTGCCTATCACTTTCCTTAGAAGGCCCTGTGTTCAGTTGCCTATAACTTTGCCTTACAAGTTTGGGCTGAAATTTCAGGCTCAGGGTGTTTGTTTGTTTGTTTGTTTTTAAATTTCAACAAAAATAGCTCAGTTGTTTCTGAAAACTAGGTTTGGGGGAAAAAAATGCTTTGCCTATGTCAAAAAATTCTTGAAATTCTCATGCTTCCAGGCTTTGGAATCTTTAAACTGGCAGGGGGGCTCCCTTGGTGCTGGAGCAATGTGTTTTGCTGTCTTTGTGAAAATCCACCCAGACATAGCTGAGTTATAAGCCCCTGAAAAAAAAATCACTTGTTTGCACGTGCTTAGTTGGGGATTATTAAAGTATGACAGCTAAAATCTGTAAAGATTCTGTTTATAGCGAGCATGGTCCATCCTAGGAGCTAGGCAGGAGTTTCCTGCAATTGATGCTCCCAGGAACGAGGGACTACTGTGCTAACAGGCACCAGTACTGAGAGCAGGAATATTGGTTCTTTTATCTTCTCCATGCTCTTCCTGCTGACATTCCAACAGCATGGAGGAAACTGAAGAAGCAGCCTATCTGATATATAGGGGTGAGGAGCAGAGAGAGGAACCAGAGGCATGCTGGGAAAAGAGGACAGAACCCGGCAGGAGGAATAACAGTGACAAGTTAGCAGGCACAAGAGCCAAGGGTTTAGGAGCAAAGCCTACAGGAACAGAATGGGACAAGACACAAGAGTCTGTGACTACTAGACTGCATGTCCTCCAGAACCTGGAAATAGAACCTAGGATTTCTTATTCTCAACATTCTTCTGCTATCTAGCAAATAGCTGTGAACCTCAAGGTAATGTGTGTATTACATCCTTGCATGCATCTGACGAAGTGGGTATTCATCCACGAAAGCTTATGCTCCAATACTTCTGTTAGTCTATAAGGTGCCACAGGACTCTTTGTCGCTTTTGACAGATCCAGACTAACATGGCTACCTCTCTGATACTTGACATCCTTGTCTATTGCTCCCATTCTACTCCATTAGTTCAAGCGGTAGAGGTCTGTGCTGTGGACCTAAATATCTGAACCCTATTGATAAACTAGGTGGTTAGTATGGCTTCACATGGAATTTCTGGAGTCAGGGGTCCTGTGGGGAAAAAAAGGGAGCTAAATTAAGGTTGTCTAGTCAATCTTAATTCTGGCATTTCTTAGGGTATGTCTACACCCAGCCACTAGTTCGGCGGCTGGCAATCGAAGTTCTGGGTTCGACTTATCGCGTTTTGTCTGGACGCGATAAGTCGAACCAGGAAGTGCTTGCCGTCGACTGAGGTACTCCAGCTAGACGAGAGGAGTACCGCGGAGTCGACGGGGGAGCCTGCCTGCCGCGTGCGGACCGAGGTAAGTTCGAACTAAGGTACTTCGAACTTCAGCTATGTTATTCACGTAGTTGAAGTTGCGTACCTTAGTTCGATTTGGGGGTTTAGTGTAGACCAAGCCTAAGTTTGTCAGTGCTTGACTTTGCAACCTTATCATAGAATCATAGAATAATAGAATATCAGGGTTGGAAGGGACCTCAGGAGGTCATCTAGTCCAACCCCCTGCTCAAAGCAGGACCAATTCCCAACTAAATCATTCCAGCCAGGGCTTTGTCAAGCCGGGCTTTAAAAACCTCCAAGGAAGGAGACTCCACCACCTCCCTAGGTAACGCATTCCAGTGCTTCACCACCCGCCTAGTGAAATAGTGTTTCCTAATATCCAACCTAGACCTCCCCAACTGCAACTTGAGACCATTGCTCCTTGTTCTGTCATCTGCCACCACTGAGAACAGCTGAGCTCCATCCTCTTTGGAACCCCCCCTTAGGTAGTTGAAAGCAGCTATCAAATCCCCCCTCATTCTTCTCTTCTGGAGACTAAACAATCCCAGTTCCCTCAGCTTCTCCTCATAAGTCATGTGCTCCAGCCCCCTAATCATTTTTGTTGCCCTCCGCTGGACTCTTTCCAATTTTTCCACATCCTTCTTGTAGTGTGGGGCCCAGAACTGGACACAGTACTCCAGATGAGGCCTCACCAATGTCGAATAAAGGGGAACAATCACGTTCCTCGATCTGCTGGCAATGCCCCTACTTATACAGCCCAAAATGCCGTTAGCCTTCTTGGCAACAAGAGCACACTATTGACTCATATCCAGCTTCTCGTCCACTGTGACCCCTAGGTCCTTTTCTGCAGAACTGCTACCTAGCCATTCGGTCCCTAGTCTGTAGCAATGCATGGGATTCTTCCGTCCTAAGTGCAGGACTCTGCACTTGTCCTTGTTGAACCTCATCAGGTTTTTTTTGGCCCAATCCTCTAATTTGTCTAGGTCCCTCTGTATCCGATCCCTACCCTCCAGCGTATCTACCACGCCTCCCAGTTTAGTGTCATCTGCAAACTTGCTGAGAGTGCAGTCCACACCATCCTCCAGATCATTAATAAAGATATTAAACAAAACCGGCCCCAGGACCGACCCTTGGGGCACTCCGCTTGAAACCGGCTGCCAACTAGACATGGAGCCGTTGATCACTACCAGTTGAGCCCGACGATCTAGCCGGCTTTCTATCCACCTTATAGTCCATTCGTCCAGCCCATACTTCTTTAACTTGGCGGCAAGAATACTGTGGGAGACCGTATCAAAGGCTTTGCTAAAGTCAAGGAATAACACATCCACTGCTTTCCCCTCATCCACAGAGCCAGTTATCTCATCATAGAAGGCAATGAGGTTAGTCAGGCATGACTTCCCCTTGGTGAATCCATGCTGACTGTTCCTGATCACTTTCCTCTCCACTAAGTGTTTCATAATTGATTCCTTGAGGACCTGCTCCATGATTTTTCCAGGGACTGAGGTGAGGCTGACTGGCTTGTAGTTCCCCAGACCGTCCTTCTTCCCTTTTTAAAAGATGGGCACTACATTAGCCTTTTTCCAGTCATCCGGGACCTCCCCCGATCGCCATGAGTTTTCAAAAATAATGGCTAATGGCTCTGCAATCTCATCTGCCAACTCCTTTAGCACTCCTTTAACATAGCTTTCTTTGTATGTAATTATATGATTTACTAACATTCATTTTCAGATAAAACGTCTTTTGCTCAAGTTAGTTTGCTGTGTTCTTTGTTCTGTGCTTTTATTTCTCTTAAGTTTCATTTATTTCAATATCTTCATCATTCTCTCCTTGTTCAAGTGGAACACTTAGGAAATATTTCAGGTTGCTTTAGGAAAAGTGCTTTATCTCCTCTTGAAAAAGAAGTATAGGCACTCGGATCTCCTGCACTCAGTTTCAGTGAAGTCTTAAATCACAAAGTGAAAATTAGTAAAGATTCAATATTTTCTTACTGTTAATACTAATAGAAACCCTCCCCCCCATAATTGAAGATGCTGTCATTTTAATAAAAAAATTAAAAATCCCTAAATGAACACATTTTCTCTATAGAAGGCAAATCGAAACATAATTGCCATTTACACTAGGAATAGTGTCAAATAACACTGCTCTACAGCCAAAATGCTTCTGAAATAAATGTAGTC